TGAACGCATTTATACCTGTTTGACTGTTCGGCTGCTTGGTGGTACAGCAGCATACACATCGGACATTGCGATAAACGTTTTATGGTAGTCGTAGCGCTCGGCGAATAGAAATGGCCCGGGAGCTGGTCACACTGAATCTACCTTCATCGCGGATTCGACTAAATTTACTAATAATATGTAGTTTTTAAGTAAACGAACAAGAAGAGCTCGGTATGACGGGGTGCATCCCATTGAAAGTACCTATCATACCGACTTGAAGATAAAGCGTGAAATAAGAATGTCACCCACTTGGTAGAATCCAATTAAGCATACATACGTTTAAATGAAATTTTAGGCTCATTTGAAAAAACTTGAAATAAAAAACTTATTTCCGCCAGAAGTTTCTATCGTACCAACTGAAAGCTAGAGCAGTCAATGCAAATAGGGATGGATAAAAATAAAACCCCTGTTTGTATGCTTCATGTTTGCAGTCAAAAGCTCATTCGAGTTTGTCAGTTTGACACATGGCTACTAGATGTTTGAAAGTATATGTAAAATGAATATTACATACGTATAAGTTATCGTGGAATCCTACCGTCACGTTGTATCTTCAAGTCGGTATAACAGGTACTTTCAGCAGGATGCATCCCAAGCATACCAAGCTATTTCAATGATTTTAGCAGTGGACATTCTGAGTATCGCCTCTAAAAACACATCTGATCTGATTACCTCTTCAGAACATTGAAGGGCTGACCTCAATTCATCAATCCGCACTTATTTTGCATCGCTAGTAATGCCATCTTAATCGGTAGAATGTTTGTCTACATAATGTCGGTGAATACTCGATGACTTAACGTTTACTATGCTGTGACAAATTAAACATTGTGCTTTCCATCAGTATTTACAAAACATGTGGTGGAACCAGTAATTGTCCATGTCATTTTCACAAACAATTAGCCTCAAAAAGTCGTTATCATGGCTCGATAACGCTCACCATTGACGGCGGGCCGACCATATTCGCGCACATACCGCACCACCAACATTAACTTTTTGGTCATAAAGAGGCTGCTGTTCGATTAAGTGAGGGTTTTCGGTAGCATAAAACCGACAATTTTGTTTACTTACGGCTCCATGTAACGAAAAATTTGCCTCGTCGGACATGATTTCTTGACCTGAATATTATCTGCCACTCGAGAATCGATGAGGCTTCATGAATGTAATAAAATATTCGAGGCTAGTTTGATTTTTGGTACACAATTTAACTTACCCTTGTCAGATCAGCTTAGTTTGCAAAGTCTCTAAAACAACCTCAATAAAAGACTTAGTGGATTCATATCCAGCCATCTTGGTAGCGATCCAATAGGGACGAGCCGGAAATCCACCTAATCTACGATGTTTGTAATTGACATGGATTAATTTTTACTAAGCATATCTAGTACATATAGTAGGACATGACACGACCTAACTTTAGTTGTAGGATTATCCGTTATTTTCGGTACACCTTGTATATGTGAAAAAGCGGGCGAAAAGGAAGCAACACATGTTATCTCCTCATTTATTTATTTTATTTATTGTCCAGTATTTAATAATCATGCTGTTGGGGTTGATCCATTTTATGCTTTCTTGCAAACTCTTTTTACACATCGAAGACCCTTTGCGCATCTAGTTGTTGGTGGTCCAGCTCTAACATGCGAATTCGGGCATTGCTGTCCTTTCTCTGGCGAAAAAAGAACATATAATCAAACAAAATTATATTTATACGAATAGAAATTGTGATAATTATTACTAGAGATGCCGCGAATAATTATTTTGTCGAATACCGAATATCGAATATCCGGTCATGCTATTTTCGGAGGCGCAGAATATTCGGCCTCTGATTTCCATTTGTAGCTTCACATTTCTCGGATGACAGGTTACGACCTATCTCATTGCAGAAGAAAGTAGACGATGAAAAACAACAAAACCAATGAAAAACACGACAGTTTCTAGAGTTGTTTTGAGAAAGTGGCTACAAATTTATATAGATAAAGACGAAGATAGCAAACGTACGACAACACTAACCAACACTGACAGAAGTAGAAAAAAATCATCTATCCTTATCCAGTAGTAATCTGTCAAACAGTGAGAGAAGTATTTAAAAAAGCAGATCTATTTTGTGAGAAACATCTGATGAACTTTTAGGTATTACTTGTTATGCTTGTTGGTATTTTTGAGTAATTATGTATGACTTTATTTTACGACTTGATATATATTAAACAAGCCGCATACGCCATGAATAGTCTCAAAATATTCGTGGCATTTCTATATCTATATCAGGCAAAATTCTAGCATCTTAGTCTGCAGTGTTTGCTGCTTAAGGAGATACTTGAAATAGTTTCATGTGCTAACGGGATTTCTTAACCTTGAACCGAAAATATTCTTCCTTGATTTCGGTAAAATTTACCGTTTCTTGATTCAATACCGTTTGTATCGATTAGCACTGTACTCCCAAAAAAGTCTGAATGAAATGTGCAACCTAACTAAACTGAAAATTTGTATCCTGATCCTGTATCCAATTACAAATATGCTGTCAGAATTATTATATTTCCAGTGTACCAGATCAAGTGCCAACATTATTATAACCATATTGAAACAAGCTGTTTTTCTCAAAAATGGTCCATTTTATTTGTGTGACTCAGAAGTATATATTTTTCAAAGATCAGGATTTTCCAAAATCTTATTTTTGGTTCAATATGATACAGAGAAAAGCTTAGCAATATTGCCTTGGGGTTAGTCCGTCTCTGCCGATCTAAGCAAGTTAATGATTGTCCATGATGTGAGGTCCGAACTAGTTATTAAACTGTCAAACATTCTTTGATTTTACAGTATCATTCAAAAGTTATTTGAGAAAAACCGATTTTCAGTCCCGACCTTTAGAGGTCTGTTTCGCCGTAGGGCAGTTTTCGTGGTAATTTGTAAAATTATTTTTACTTTTCACGACTTGGCAGGGTAGTATTATAATCGCGAACATATTTGAAAATAAGATATTACGTTTTTTGGATGTTATATGACATGTACGTCACGAAAAACCATGTCACTCATTTCCGTCTGTCTGTCTGTTCGCTAATCCTATAACCGCCTATACCTTGTCAAGTAATGCTCGGATTTTGAAAAACTTTTTACATAAAGATACTTTTATACTAAGGATGCAAAATCTTTATAGTCTTTGAAAATTGGTCCAGTAGCGGCAGAGAAAGGTTAAAAACAAAAGAAAGAAAAAAATTAAAAACTGCGTTACTTGACGTAACAAAAGACCAATCAGGGACAGGTGACGTTGCCAGATGGACTATACCCATAGAACAGGGACAGAATGTCTATGGACCAATTGTATGGATCTGTTTGACTGACTTTTTTCTCAGAGGGTCTAGTTTGTGCCGGACATAATCCTTTATGAACTGATAACGGTGTTGCGTGGAAAGTGCAAAGTTAACCTACTTGACGTCATTTTTAGTGCTCTATATGCATACTAAAGATTGACATGTCATGCTGGGATACCTTGTATAGAAACACACCGCGACGCGGTAAAAATCTAATTGTTATTCTAGATGATTATTTACTTCAGGAAATCCTTTTACAGTTAAGATACCCATATGAATCCATGAATACATGCTAGATCAAGTCATGGAGAGGCATGAACGCTATTTCACGAGCATCCATCACGTTTTGACGCCTACTGAGGTAAACAGCTGATCAGAAAGTGACATCTTTGTATTAGTCTGTAGCGTTGGCAACAATGAATCGGGTGTAAATCTAGTAAAACTTGCTTGTAGCGTTTTTCTTGTATGTATTTGGATTTTTTTATATAAAATAGTTGTAAGCAAGTACACAATAAATCTATAGCGTACAAAAAACCTAAACAAAATACGGCTCTGTCTACCTGGCGTTGATGGATTCATCAGAATTATGTGTCATTTGTCGATATGGGGACTTTTGGAATATTATTAGAAAATTAGCTGTTATTGTACCGTAATGGATATTGGTGAAAAAGTGAATTTAACGTCTTTAAGAAAATTCTCAGCCACAAAGCTGGTTTTGCGGTTTTTATCAGGGCTGGCTTCAGAGTTTTGTGCCTCCTGAGGCTAAGGACAAAATATGCGCGCTCTCCCCATATTAATTCAGATTTTTGCGCTCCCCATGGTGCTGCGCTCTGAGGTGGCTGCCTCATTTGCTTACCGCCTGTAGCCTACCCTTGTCTTTATAAAAAATTGTAACAGTGCAAACTTATTCTAAGGTTATCTCGCTGGCTCGGATCTATCTTGGAAGTGTACAGTTTAAGTTATTGACCAGAAAAAACAAAGAGGTGAAGTTTTAAGCTGCCTAAGTCTAAGTAGCAAAACTCTCTCGAGTGACTCTTTGGCAGCATCAGAAGCATAACGATATCATCTAGTGGGCTGAATTACCTTAAATTATGACTTTTCTCCTTTGCATGTACCAGGAGTATAAATTAAGTGACGAGACTGTTTTTTAATGTTTTTATTCAAATATACCTAATTACAATTTTATATTGTCGGTTCTTCCACTCCTCATAGCAGTTCTTTCTGGAACTCCGATACTGGAATAGACTTTAGCTGATCCGTTATAGCCGTTTGAATGTTTTCAACTGTCCCACAAAGAGTTCCCTTGAGGTGATTTTTCAACCTCGAGAAGAGAAAAAAGTCACGTGGACTCAAGTCAGGCGAATAAGGAGGCCGAAGAGCTACAGGTATGTTTTTACTGGCCAAAAACTCGTTTACACTGATATTACTGCGCGATAAGGCGCATTATCGTGATACAGCACCCAGTTGTTCTTGATCTGATGAACGATGGTGTGAGTTCAAATTTAACTCTTTCCCTATCATTCTGACTATCAACCGACGAGCTGAACGCCCAAGATCCCGGATTCTGTTGATATTTTTATTGGCCTTTCGTTTCGTGGTTCATCTTCGATCGGTTCTCTCCCCTTTGAAAACGCCTCAGACCATAAAAAAATCAGCGCTCTTGACAAAACACCATCACCGTATGCCTGTTTAGCAACAGTTCCCGTTGCCCTGTGCCCAAGTCTGAAGCAAATCATTCCAGTGCACTTAATTTACAGACATCTTATCTCCAAAAAAGAGGGTGAAAAGAAAACAAATGACTACAACAATTTGTACATTTATTTTTTGTTCAATGCTCCCTTGAGATTTTTCAGTTGAGCGCCTATAAACTCTTACAGACTCCGTTGATACACTGAAGTCCATCTCCACATCTTTCTGTCGCTGGAGTTCCTCCAGAAAATATCTGCGCTAGGCAATTGTCTCCTTCCTCTGGTAAAACAAACGAAATATAAAATACCATATATGATCGAGTAGTTACGAAAAAGACGGAACATGAAGATTATTCTATCTTGCAGCCTGTTTCTTCTCATTACGTCAAGTTGTTAAAGATAAGTTAAAATCACTGGCTACGACAAACTACCACATGTCTAACCCAATTAAGAAAAGATATGAACACAAGTTGGAAAGCTTCGACCTAAGAAATATAAGATTCATCTGTTGCATATTTTATATATTTTGACCACAAACAAGCATTCATTCATTCCACAGTTGGGTATTATTGCTCCTGAACCCTGGAAATAATAATTCACATTCATCTTAAAACGGATAATTTCGGATATGTTATCGTTGTCATAGAATGGACTGAAATAAAAGAGTCAGCTTCAACTAATTTTTCAGAAGGCGAAGAGGAGTACTGCGTCATATATACTCAGTTACAAATACATCAGGACAGACAGTAAAAATGATTTGATTCGAATGAAATTTCATACATACACAGTTAAACATAAGTAAGAGGAAGTAATTTTGAAGTCAAAACATTTGCAGTGTTGCTAATAATGTGTTGGACCCTCGTGCAGTTTTAAACAGAAACTTGACCGAAAAATTGGAATGATGAGTGGTCTCATATTGCTTTTAGAGATGAGGAAAGTTAGGATTTTTGTTTTTTTGGACGTACTTGGTCAATTGTATAGCTGAACGGCATTGTACGTAAAAGATACAATGATGTATGGTGAAGAGGAATATCGAATTGGGCATCATGACGTAACCTTGTTGTAATTGGATTTCTTTAAGGAACTAACTACTTGGTACATAGACATAGGTCCCTTGGTGATGATTATGTTGTGTATACAAACTAACATATCAAACTCAAAAAGATTTTTGAGCCTCAGCCCTCCAACTCACAAATGTTAGTTGTAACATGGCTGTAGCTACGAAAACTAAAAACAAAATGTCAGCAAAAGTTCTGAATTTTCTGCAACCTGGTTTTTGTTATGGACTCAATACAAGGATAAAGATGGTGGTAAGATTATAGAGGCTCTTCGGACCCAAAAACAGCTAGCTGTGGATGAGATACGTTAAGAATCCATACATTGGAAGCATACTCCAACGACTGGGCCAATGTATATGGCATCAAGGATAACCCAAAACACTATTAGCAAAATCCAGGGATTGTTTTCACTTCAGACTTAGTCACCTTTTCCTGTTGCTCACGCCTAACTCTAAATAAAATTTTATTCAAAAAGCACCATTTTCATTGGGTATTCTATTAACTTTATTAGGGAGTCTATGTTAAATACCAGTAAATGGATAGTAGAGAACAATTGTGGCACCGAAAAATCTCGTACGAATTGACAAGATGGATTTCTGTCAAAGCTTTTCAGCCAAACTTACCAAACTTATGGGGTAATAACCTTCTACCTATTCGATTTTTCCTATTATAACGACAAACTTACTCAAAATCGTGACGCAAAGATCACAACACCCACAGAAGCCTCCTTTCTTGACAAGTACTTGTTTGGAGATACATTTTGGCTGAGTACATTTAAATAATTTGCATATACTTTGGGTACACGCGACGGCTTCCGACTCTTCAAAGGTAAGAGCTATGGCTACTAGCACGAACAAACCGATGATTGCTGCCTTCATTGTGGAATGTCGTTGAATATCCCTCGTTAGTGGGAAGTCGAGAAATATGTACGCAATAATGGTTTAAAAGATACGTATTTTATATTTTTTGACACGTAAAAGCCATCGTGTGTTAAGTAAATAGCCCGATACGATATAATCTATATGTAAGTAACTTATACTAAGTGACATATAAATCCGAACACCCAGTTTAAATGGCTTTATTTTAATAAAATTTTGTATAAGTACTTAATGAAGCATAATAAGTAAATGATAAAAATTTCAAAATGATTGCACTGCTTTAAAGCCCTTTGACCTTTAATAATGTGTGGATGCACCCTGATGAGCTACGCATTCTCCAACGCGCCTAGGCATGCTTCTGATCAGGTGGTCAATGTCCTCCTGTGGTATCTCATTCCAGGCAACCATCAACTCCTCTCGAAGTGCTTCTAGAGTCTGAGGAGGACGTTGCAAATTGAGCAATCTCCTACCCATCATATCCCACACGTGCTCAATTGGGGATAAGTCGGGAGATCTTGGTGGCCATGGTAACAATGTGACATCATTATGTTGAAAGAAGTCTATTGTGACTCTTGCAACATGTGGTCGGGCATTATCTTGTTGGAAAGTTGGAACTGCGAGGGTGTCAAGATAGGGTAAAAGATGGGGTTCTAGAACTTCGTGGATATAACGCTGCGCGTTCATGTTACCTCTGATGAAGATTAAAGGTGACCAGGAACCATAAGCTATAGCACCCCAAACCATAACTCCAACAGTGTGATGAACATGTCTTTCAACAAAAAACTGTGGATTCCTCCTTTCACCACGTCGCCTTCTAACCCTGGCACGACCATCGTGCATGCCTAAACAAAATCGAGACTCGTCGCTAAAGACAATACTGTTAAATTCCTGATCCCAGAGTGACCGTTGTCTGCACCCCTCAAGGCGATTACGTCGGTGTTCTCGAGTTAAAGGGAGGACCCCGTGTGGCCGGTATGAAAACAAGCCAAAACTTCTCATTCGTCGGTAAACACTTCGCATGCCGATAGGTCTTCCGTGTTCTGCAAACCATTCATTTGCAATGGACCTGGTAGTGGAGAAACGGTCCCTTAAGGCCAATAATCTTAGGCGGCGATCTTCACGGTCTGTTGTTCTACGGCGGCGTCCAGTGCCCCTTGCTCTTTGCGTACGGCTTTCTCGAAGCCATGCCTGACAACACCTAAACACAGTGTCTACACTTCTTTGCACTCTAGGCATCGTAATCGATCGTAAAGGATGTCAAGAACCAAAATCCACCAACGTTGATTCTTTACTGCGGCTGAAATATTCATTTTTAGAGCGTTAGTGAATTAAAAAAAAGCAGTATAAAAACCGGAATGTCCAACTGATAAGGCTGACAATTTTTTCACTTGTTATTTACAGTAGGATAAATACATTCACCAACTTTTATTAAAATAAAACCATTTAAACTGGGTGTTCGTATTTATATGTCACTTAGTATACATATATGTGTGTTGGCATGATAAAGGAAATTACGGTATGGATATAAATAAACATAAACAAGGGAAAATTGAATGATATTCAGGGATACCAAGCGGAATCTTTTAATACCTACATAAAACTTATTGTTAGTAAAGCTCATAGTTTTATGTTGCATATTATCATCGGTTTTTATTGATTGTTTGTCTGTCTGTCTGGTAAACATCAACTCTGAGATACCATGCTATTAAAAATCAGTATCATTTTAATTCCGGAAATGTAATTCCGTCCCTGAAAGCAAAAAAAATCAGAACTTCACCCTTCTGATTGTAAAGGTAATATTTACTAATATCTTTCCGATTATATTTCGAATATAGCTTTTCAAACGTGCAGTAAGGAAAACATATTTAAGAAAAAACACACATCTACCTTAATATGTTTTCGTATTCTGTTCATTTACCCGGCAAACACAATTTTTTTCTAAAAAAGGTTCTAACAGAAGTTTTACTATATCAAAATACAACTTGTGGATGACCTTAAAGGTCAAGTTTGAAAATTAGAAAAGTAACCACCTTTAGCAGTAGATTCGCGTTGGGCTTGATATTTACATCGGAGAGCATTTTCATACATGTGGTCAAGTGGACATAAGTGGTGCACTCAGTATGACCAATTGTAACGTCTAAAAAATATTCGAATTCCTGTAACTACACATTTTAAAAAAGGTTCCAATGAAGGTGCTAGGAAATCTAAATCTCTCAAATATGAGGGCATTTGGAGGCCCAGTTTGTATATTAAATTAGCTTTCACCATTTTCAACAGTAGATTCGAGCATGTTTATAGTATTGTATATTTAAGATTCTATTCTAAGGCTTTCTTAAGTTTCTGATTCAGAAAAAATGAGTACTTGATAAGTTTTCTGAATGTATTTTTCAGACATTAGGTCATGCTGATTAGACCACTTCTGACCGTTCAACATCTTGTATTAAAATGCACTTTTATGTAAAAGCTTAAGCTCTACACGAATCTGCTGACGAACATCGTTATCGCTAAGTTCATCTACGTCATATTTGAGGTAATCGACAAATTGCTTTTTTGATAACCTGATAACTTCGTTGAACCTACTTTCAAAAAATGCGTCGTTCCAAGTTTTCAAGGTTCATGTACTCATGTTTGAAAATACATGTTATATGCCCTTGGTAACTATGCAGTTATTAAGTTAGCATACAATGTTGCACCACACGCTGAGTAAGCATAAGGTAACTTCTCGCTAATCAGTTGTTTACTTAGTGTCTGTATTTATCAATAGGCTATTGTTTGTCTATTGTTTACTATTATTGTCTATTTTCTGCTGATGCTTAGACAACATATCAAATTGTATAACTAGTCTCCCGAACTTTTGAAGCGTGTTCAATACCCGGTTAGACTCCGTAAATGTCATATCCATTGTAACTTGTAATTCATAACGGTCTCAACGTACAGACCTTAACAAAGTTTTTTTGAACAGTATTTTTCAAAGTGATTGATTTAAAATGCATTTTGAGCGCCCATTAGGCGGAAGCAAGTGGGGGTATGTCCCCCCTGGGTTCCGCTTGAAAAGTAAAATATACTTAATCGGGCACCCTGTTTCTTAAACATCAAGTGACATGTGTGTTTTTTTGGTTTTCAAAACATCCGCGAAAATTACTTTGCTAGATCTGTTTGTGGAGATTTGCTCCCCCTCCTCCCTCATGATGTCTAGGTCCAAAAAGAAAGAGACATGCATTTTTTAAGAAAATACAAACAATCCGAGTGCAGCTACTGAGAAGAATGAAGAATCGATTACTATCAAGGTGAATCTAAGGACACCTCACATGTCTAAATCCATCAAGTTGCTTGGGCTGTAGCGC